CATCAATCAGAACTTGACCATCAGCAGGTCCCTAAAGCATGAAGGGGAGTCACCGAATAATGCTAAGTTCTGTTTCCTTGTATGACAGTTACCGGATCATCGAAGATCTGATCGAAAATGTTATCGAATGCGCTGCCGCGAGGTCTAAGGAATAGTAGCGAGATCGTTGTAAACGTCACCGACGTCACCGTATCTCTCACCGAATTTCACGAATGTGTCGCCGAATAGGTCACCGAAGGATATTGTCAAAAGGGTTGGTCAAAACATGTGGCACCCTTGAACCCTCAATATCAGTACCCATGAGAACACGCGTTGGTACTCCATGCCACAGTGGTGCAGCCTGGCCTCCCCAAGCTTCCATCCTTTCATCTGCGTCAGCCTTGTTTTAGTCCTTGAAACCAGACCGAGGGCTCCGATCTTTCATGGGCCACGCAGCGCTCAGCTCGGTTCGACGCTGCGTATCAGCGAGTGAGTGAGAGGTCAGAGTGTTGCCTCGGTTTAAACATCTAGCATTTAATCATCGGTGCATTTACTGTAGGAGTTCAAGCGAGGCCCCGCCCCAACCCTGATCTCCAGCGCCCTCCTGTTTTGCGGCTCTCGAAAGGGCAGGAGGATGGAACTGTTTGATTGCGAAGCAAGTGCTCTGATTGCTGCGTAGGAGCTGGCCGAGATCATGAGGTTCTTTGCAAGGCCACGTCCTCGTCCGACACCGCTGACGCATGGGATTCTTGGTGTCAGCGCTGCCCTGATGAGGTGTGCAGCTGACTGCATGTGGGACCCGGCCTGAGCAAAGAGAGGACAGCAAGGCCCTCGGCGTGTCGCGGCCTGGAAAGGAGATCCCTTTGGAATCGGCAGTGGTCCTCCTGAAGGCCATATGCCAGAAGACGCCACACAAGACGGAAGAAGCGACACGCCAGACTTGCCGCTCCAGGGACTGGCCGCATCAGGGGTGCGAGATGCCGCCCTCTGCCGCCGTGTCTCCCAGAAGCTCCAAGCCCGCTTGCGTCACGGCTCGTGGCGCGGCTGCATGTCGCTTGGATTGGGCCGATGTGTGCCTGTGATGTGCCCTTGAACTTTCTGTTTGCGTCGCTTGCAGTGAGCGTTGCTGCAGGAGCCTGCGCGCGGGTTTGCTGGGCCGTGCTGCGACGGCCATGGCGGATCAAGGTAAGGTAAAGTCATGAGACAAAAGTGAAGATAAAAGTCAGACAGGCGGAAGCAGAGTGCTGCAAACCTGCTTTCGCCAGACTTTCGAGACCTCGAGCTCTTTCGCTGCCTGGTGGATGCTGCTGCACGTGGGCTTGAAGGCGCAGCAAGTCCCCCCAGGCCCTCTCTGAGAGGTACTGGGGGTTACTAGGAAGCTCTGCTCAGGCCAAGAGGAAGAGCTGCGAGCAGAAGCCGAGACCTCGGCGCGGGCCGTGCTCCAAGGCGGATGCCACGCCGGCCTTTGGATTTTAACTCTGAGCCGAGCTGAGCTTTTGGAGGCGTGGCCTGGCTGCGTCTAGAACTGCCCGAGGTGGGATCCAAGATGCTCATAGCTTTGAGTCGTCGGGAAGCTCCTTAAGCGCTCTTCGAGGCCCAAGCACTGGACAAGACCCTTGGCGAGGCGGCACAGTGAGAGTCCAGGGCATGTTGCGCGGCCAGCTTGCGCGGCTGCTGCAGGCTTGAGGCCGCTCTGCGCATCGGAGAAAAAGAAGCGGTTTCCTATAGCAGTCCTAGCGTCTCGCACGTTGGTTTCAAAGGGGGGGACGGTTCGAGGCGAGCGACTCAGTTTGCTTTTCCTTGCTCAGGTCACGAAGAAGACGCTCTGGGTGCCGCCTTTCGGCTCCGGGCTCGGCGCTGCTCCGGAAAGAGCGCTGCTCTCGGTCCGAGCGCCGCGAGGTGCCGTGGCCTTGATCTTCGCCGCCGAGTCGATTCTGGCGGCCAAGGAAGGCGCACGAGCGATCACGACGAAAACTGCTCCCCCCCCCCACTCTGGCGGCTGTGGGCACTTTTAAAGGTACCTTGTGGTGCCGCAAGAACATCATAGATAGGTTGCGCGAGGTGGGATGGGGGGATGGGGGGATGGAGATGCTCCCGGGAAGCGGGCTTTGTGCGAATTCCGCAGGCCTGTGCCGGTGTCATGTCGGCCTGTGTCTGCACAGTCCTTGCTGCCCAACTGCCCAGGGCCTCGGAAGCGATTGTGGAGGAATGCTCGGGGACTCTTGGGACTGTCCTGGAAGGTTCGGTGACAACCCGACGGCGTTGCAGAGACCTGAGAGGAAGAGTGGGGGGGGGGGGGGGGCGTCTTGCCGCTGGCTGCTAGCTCGCAGCGCTCTCTGAGGCGCACAGTCGTCATGTTCTGGGCCGGCTTCTCGATGGTGGGTGTCCTAGCAGTGTAGCTGTGTGCTGGGCCGCTGGGCACTGCGCTGCGCTCTCAGATCTTGAACCCGAAAGCCGGCTTCTTTCCGCCGGCTGGGGCCCTTTGTGCCTTGTACGTGGAGAAGGCGCCAGCCTACAGCCTGCAGTGCCTACAGCCTAGAACGGCCTTTGTCCTGTTGTTGTTATTGTTGTTGGCTCAGGCCCTCACAAACGGGGCACTGCCTGGTTTTGAATATGCTCTGTTTCCGTGCTCTACCGGTGTCGCACTTCTGTCCGGACCTGAAAGGTTGTAGGCCTTACAGGGGCTTGTATTGCCGGAGCTTTCGAGGCTTTTTCTGACACGGACGACCACCTTCCTGATCTCGCGCCCAATCTGGGCACTGCGTGCGTCAAGGTGCCGCCTGCAAGATTTTCACTGCTCCGGCTTTTTCAACTGGCTTGATGCTGAGGCGCAACCAAGCCCAGGAGCACAAAACTGTGCCGGGACCTTGGCGCAGAATCGGAAGGTGCCTTTGAGGCCTTTCATGTCTGCAGCTCTGGAGTTTGCGAAGGTTTGCCGAAGCGTGATGCTTCATGCCCCTTGATTCGCCGAAGGCGTTTCTGCAGGTCTTTAAGTGGTGTGCGCGGTGCCCGGGTGCTGCGAACCCCATAAATCTTATGAATCTCATATTGAGTACGCAAGCAAGACGATAGCAAAGCTATCATTTTCTGTCGATGCTGCAGGCTTTTCTCAGATCACGGCAGCAGTCAGCCGTGTGGAACACTGCTGGTGCTAGCTGGTTCTGCCGTCCAGCAGCTGTTGTAGTCGCATGAGTCTCTGTCCATTCAGCAAGAGGCACGAGACAACATATTTGCATCATATGCCACGACTTGTGAGCGACCGCGTGGGTGCACGTCTGTAAAGGCGAAAACATCATCGCGCATCTAACTTCGGAAGTCTGTTGACTTGCGGTCGAAGCAGTAGAGTCCGACGAATGCCATGACTGATGCTTCCAGATCGCAGACTTTTCAACACTTCAGCTTCAGGTGCCTTCGCAGAGCTCAAGCACTTCAGTGCCTTGTTGCGATGGCTCGAGTCCCGGGGATTTTTGGCCGGGCTTCGGAGATGAAGGCCTGGGCTTGCAGCGCCGGGGGGGCAGAGACTGCGCCCACGTGTTCCGGCCTTGTCACAGGGTCGGCGGAAGCCATGATCCCCGCCCGCAGTGCCGGACCTCAGGGCAAGGCCAAAGATTCAGCAAAGCAGGTCAGACCCAGAGGACGTCTGCCAGACACGCCACGCCATGCATGCTGTTGGGCAGAGGAGCAGGATGCAGGATTGCTGTTGAACAGGTTAGCTGCCTGTAACCCTAGAACGGAGTCTAAGGCTCACTGCGGCACGGGGACGGCGCAGACTTGAAGAATGGGCTCAGGTCCGAACCGGCTTTCATTTCGGCAATCTTCAGTGGCTTCTTTGTCTTCCTCCCTTTCTCGGGCTATAGCCTGGCTCGTCGATGTCCATTTTCTTGCGGCCGGAAAGAGCGACGCCTTGTGTGCGACATCCGACAGATGCAAGGCGAGCAGAGCCTTCCCTGTGGCCAGTCGGGTCAGCACTTCTCGTGCTGTCGTCTGTACCATGTCTCTCTGTCTCTACGCACGTGTGCGAGCACTTGTTTTATTCAGTAACGCAAGTGGCGCGAAAGCAGTTGTAGTACCTGCAGCCTTGAGCCCTGACATGCCAGAGATTTTGTCTCCATTCTCTGGCACTCATTGAATGGATGGATGCCACCTTGTACAATCTGTTTCAGAGCACTGGAATCTGACGGGATGTCCGGAGAGATGACCCCAGCCTTGGTCTGCAGAGTCTGTAGACGCGCTTTCACAATGTTGTGGAGGCGCCAGTGACTGATGCGGGTCCCTGCCAGGAAGACTGCGGTTGGGCTTGACTTGGGGCAGGATCCTTAAAGTTAGCGACCGGTGCTGCAAGAGCGTCGGCAAGTGACTGAAGGCGGCGGCTGCTCGTGGTCCTCAAGAGCACGCAGCAGCCCCCAGCGGATGCAGAAAGAGAAAGGGCAGACGGGCAGAGATCGCCGAGATCGGTGTCAGGTCCAAGCCCTCGGAGAAGGCCCAGGCAGGCGCTGAAGTTGTTGAAGAGTCTTTGAAGCCTTGTTCTTTCGCTACTTCCCCAAGGCCATCCGGGTCGTGGACCACGGAGAGCAGCAGAAGGAGGCAAGGACGTCGACCTCGTGGGGCTCGCAGGAGGAGGTCATGAGCGGTGCCAGGCGCTTCGACGACTCTACGATGCCCAGGTGCTCTTGCAGTCCTACGAGGCCCTGGGGAGCAACTTTTTCCTTGTGGCTGCTCTGCTCGGTCTTGGCTTGCCGCCAGGATCAGTTGCATGCCAAAGATGAGCAGCTCTACAAGATCCAGGTCTGCGTGAAGAAGGCGCGGCGATCCGTCCCTGGAGAGAGACCTGGAAGCATGCAAACCACGCAAGCACTTCAGCATCCCGGGCTACTCTAACCCCAAGGGTGATGTGGAATGGGTGCCGGAACGCATCGCATGCCCCGGCTGGAGGGAAGTTGCACAGGACCGGGCGGAGTGGGCGCGGTTAAGTGACGCTTTTGATGAGAGGTTCGATGGCCCTTGGGCGACTGACATGTCAACCTTCTACCACACACCCCACGCCACTCAACCCACTTCCATGTGAGGAGGTTGCGGGAGGAGCGAAGGGACTTCACCCTGATTGTCCTCCCACCACCCCTCTGGGGAGGGGCGGGATGCTACCACAGACCTACCACACCTCCTTTGCATTAACAAGCTGCGCGTCTCGGGGGCTGAAGTGCGGCAACTGCTAGCACGAACCGGCTCACCTCGGCCCCAAGGCGGTGCGAGCCTGGCGGGCGAAGGAGATGGAATCGCTCATCACATTTACCTGGCCTGCTGATGGAGCGGTTGACATGATGACCGCGGACACGTTGCACAACGCTTGCGGGGTCTCTGGGCCCGAGACCCAACAACATGATGATCCCGCTCCACTACCTGCATGTGCTGCTGTGCCGGGGGACGAAGTTTCGGCACTACCTGCAGCGCCGTGCGACACAGCGGCCACTAACGACGTAGTACAACGACTTCTCCAAGAACTACAAACAATGCAGGGGGGTCTGGACGGCGACGACGAAGTCTCAGACACGGAAGAGGTATTGATTGACCTTGCGACACCCGAAGGGGCGCAGTGAACTCTCTCTGACTACACGTATGCTCGCAGTCTAGTTCACGCAAGTGTCAGTAGCTTTCGTGCACTTTTCACGCCAGGTTCAGGCTGTTTGCCTCCCCCGCCATGCCTCGTCGGAGTTTTGCACGGGCGGCCGTGTTGCAGCATTGCGGGTGTTTGCCTTCATGCCGGCAACCACGTAGACTCATCGTTCATCTGGGGTCTTTCCACGAAGAGCACCTCCGCGTTCTTCCCCGGCATCGTTTGTCTGTTGGACAGTCTCGTTTGCACTTGTGTTCGGTGTTTACAATTTCTTCGAAAGATGAGACAAGTTGCGTATTTTTGCCACATGTGCCTTTTGCCCACATGACACTGCCAGTCACCAACAGTCCAACGCTGCTGATGGGGGATGTCCTTGCCTGGGTGCTAGTGAAATTGAGGGCGAGTGCTGCAGCGTGAGTGACTGTGACCGTTTCACCGGGCAGAGCTTGCCTCTAACTGATAATGTCTCGTTTGTAAGTGTGTTTACTAGAAAAGGGGACACGGGGGACATAATGCCTGGCAAGTTTTTGCCCAGCCGAAGCCAGAAAATCATTTGGTGTTGGGGGGCCGAACTTCCTTGTTTTACCTGGCAGAGAGAGAAGGAGAGGACATGACGAACCATCGCACCCCGAGCCTCGAGGCGATCCGCGAGTCGAGCGCCGACTACCTGCCGGAGCCCCGAAAGAGCTCGGCAAGCGAGAGCGCCCACCTAGCGCGCAAGCGAGCGCAAGCAGGTGAGAGGGTTTAGAAGGCCTTAGGGGGAGGGCAACGGAGAGAGCGGCAGCTCCGAGGCGGGAGCCGGACTTGATCGAGTCGGAAGCCTCGTAGCGCTATCGCTCTTCGCTTCTCGTTTCTGCTTCTCTTGCAGGTCCTTGGGTTTCAGCGAGGAGGAGCTCCATGCCGAGGGCATCGCCACAGAGCAGAAGCCCACGGGGAAGATGGCCCGCTTCGAGGCCCCCCTCCCACACAACCCAAGCTCGTGAACCTATCCTTTCCGAAGCTCGGATAGGCCATGCTCGACCAAAGCTTCGAGAACCAGAAGTGGGAGGAGAAGCAGGACAGGGAGAGGAGGGCCAAGGACCGCCAGGCCTGCCATAGGCCCACAAGTCTTGGCGCCACATCCTGTCTGTGTCGGAAGGCGGATGGTAGCAGCCTCCCTGTGCTCGACCCACAAAGCCCGGCGCAGGAAGTTCTGTTGAAGGAGACTTGTGTGGTGCTCTGTTTGCAGGTGACATGCAGTGGTTCAAGGTGCCTTACTGGATCAAGGCTGATGAGGAGACAAGGTGCTGCAAAGCCGGTCCTGCGTGAAAGTGCCAGCGATGCAGCAGAAGACACAGGGAAATGGTCCAGAAGATCAAGCAGCATTTCATGGACGAGATGAACGCCAAGGCCACTGGCTTAGTCCCTGTCGTGCTCGAGGCTTTGGTGGACTGTTGTGCCCCCAGGGCCACTTCGATCACAACGCGTTTCTTGAGCACCTTTGGCAGGCGTCCAGTGCATAAAAGTGATTTGATGTAGTGTCGAATAAAGAAGACCATCAGGGCCCAAAAGTACACCGCTGCTGTGCCAGTGTGGCTTCCAAGTTGCCCAACATTGGGCGGGATCGCCGAACGAGGAGCTGGTGAAACAAGTGGAGGCATCAATTCTTTCTGCTCTTCTTTCCTTACTTGTCTTCCGTCGGTGTGAGGCCGCCGAGAAAAAAGCCCGGAGCGTACAGCGTGAAGCACTGCAGGCCGTATGCAGCGTGGCTGGCTCGATGATTTCTATAAAGTGGTGCAGGAAACCTCCATGCTTCGTCAGCACATCAAGCGCGTGGAGCGCAAGTCCGGGCCCAAGGCCGAGGTGTTCGGCTTCGGCTGCCTGTGGAGCCCTGGCATTTTTCTGGAGTTGTTCTGTGAGGTACAAGGAGCTCCAGAGCAACGCTGCCAAAATGCAGAAGGCCATGTCCACCATGGCCTCGCAGCTCAAAGAGGAAGGGTCCGGGTCGCTTTGGCTTTGGGGCCGCAGAGTCGTGACCCCTCTCCGTGCGCCAGGCTCGCGACACTGCGGCAATGTTCGGGGTGGAGCTGCCGTCCTCCCCCAGCGATACGTCCAACCGCCGGCCGTCCGTGAGCCTCCCCCGCGCAGCCCCGCGCAGCAGGGCTTTCCTTGTAGACACCTTGTTCGCATGGTCTTCCCTGAGGGGGGGGAAGGAGGTGACTTCAGCCTGGGCTCAAAGGGTTGTAGAAATGGCCGTGGCTGCCAATGGGCTGCGGCTGCTGCAGGCTGTAAGCCTCAAGCCATCTCATGCCTCTAAGCGTGTCACGGGGCCCAGAGAGCAGAACTGAGCGGCTGGAGGCAAAGAGACATCCCGGAAGGTTTCGAGTGGTGGTACAGCGACACAGTCTCATATCGAGGTGGGACTTTGGGGCCGGAACGGGGGTCGGAACCTTCTAGGTTCTTTGCCTCAGGCCCGAGGCGAAACCTGCCTCCGGAGCCTTCGCCCGGCCAAGAAGGCTCTGAGTGGCAGTGCCACGACCCAGCCTATGCAGGCAGCGTGCAGCCACCTGGTTCTGGGAGGGTTCGGTGATGCCTTCCTGCCCAGGTCTAACGCGACAGGTGACTCCCGATCCCGAGCCTTCGCAGCCCAGGTGCGTTTGGAATCTGTAAGATTCTGTAAGCGTAGAGAAATGGAAGCCGATCCGATCCGGAGGCGGTCTCGAGCCTCCGTCAGGGACAGGGACCCGCCATCCGACAGCGATGATGATCCACCCCAGAACATCATCGACCAGCCGCCGGAGTCCTCTGCCTTGTTGCCTGTCCGGGTTGCGGTTCAACTGCCGCAGCCAGCTCTCGGATGCATGGTATCTGACTCTGAGATGTGTTGAGGTACCCCCGGGGACGGTCGCCGCGGTCTCAGGCATCACCTCAGAGCAAGGCGCACGCAGGGGCCACCGTCGATGCGCTTCCCCTGCTCTTCCGCTCAGCTCCCCTTTTCTCTCATGTCAGCTCGTGAGGAGTCCTTCCTTCACGGCACCGGCGCTGGTGCCAGCTACGCGCCTCTGCTTCCCGAGGACTTGGGGATGCCGTCGGCTTAAAAGCCCAGAGCCCATGGCATGTGGTGCACAGCACATTTTCGCCGAGGCCTCCCGGAGGATGCCGCTCTCAGGAAGAGGCCGAGAGGGAGAGGGCCGAGAGGTACAAGTCGGGTCCTGAGCTTCAGAGGCCTCGGTCTGGAAGCCCCCTCCTGGGCCCTGTAAAAGCAAAGCGCTGGCATCGAGCCTTCGATCAGCCCAGCTTGTGGCACAGAGCCTCTCCAAGATACGGCAAACAGCAGGGGCCGCAGGAGCCCACAGGGCCAAAGACAGTTGAATTGAGGAGGCCAGCCAGGACAAGGCTGTAAGGATGGCAAGACCCCAGGGCCTGCATTCATCTGAAAGCAGGCCGGAGAGTAGGAACAAGCCAAGGGACCTCGACATCGACGAGCTGGAATTGCTGCGCGGCAACTTGCAGGCTGAAAGCTTGTTTCGCATCTGCGACGCTTTTGGCCGTGCGATGCGAAGTCACAGTCCACGTATGGCTATGAATCTAGAAGCACAGGCTAGCAGAAGCCGCATCATCCGCGACCCAGTTCTCCATTCAACATGTCAGAGTGTATGTGGCCCTGCATAATGTCAGGCAAACGTCTCCGAGGCAAGCTGAGCTTCTCGCGAAGAGTTGTGTCAAGCCTTCGCGGCTTAGCAAGCTCGGAATTCTGTTGCTCTGTCCGGCCAGAGCGTGGAATGCCAAATGCTTTGTCGGAGCAGGACCTCCTGGTGCGCTTCCTCCGTGGCTGTGCCGAGGAGAGGTTGAGCAGTGGTGAGAAGGGGCTGACGCCATGTGCGGTGTGCGGGAGGAGTTACCGGCAGCGCAGGGGCAACTGGCTCCCGTGCAGCCCGGAGAAGCTCCAGGAGAGGCGAAGAGCACGCCGGGTCTGCCGAAACCTTGGCGCGAAAGCGAAGAGAAACTCCCCCCAGAAACGCCTCTGTGTTCTGTCACAGCCTCGGTCCAGGCCAGCGACGTCGCTGCCGTGTCTGGGGCCAGGCCAGGCCTCAGAGGAGTTTGTTTCGGCAGATGTCTACAAAAGAGTCTGGGGCGTCTGCGAGGCCTTCCGAAATCCGGACTTCCGGAGGAGTCCTACAGAGGCCAGGATCCTTACGCGACATGGCAGTACCCGCGCTGCTCGTATATGCCCTCTACGCTTTGGGCCGGCACCGTCACGGCTTATCGTCGACCGGAGGAAGCGACAGAACCGGAATTTGCGCAGGGGGCGGTGCCGGTTCCCGAAGAAGCTGAAGCAAAGCAGCAGCCGGAACTCCCGCCGTCTCCTGCATCTCCTTCGGCATCACTGGAGCGGGTGCACAGCGACATGACGGCCTTAACAGAGGCGCTGCAAGCCCGGCAGCGCAGGTGCCAGTTCACGTCGTCGCGATCAGCAGCTGTGTCCCTGAAGTTCACAGAGTTCACGGCACCTACGACGGCGGCGTGGGTGCAAAAGCCGTGGTCGAAGGCACCATCGCCATCGCCGAATCGCCTCCAGATCACGGTCTCTCATGCCATCGGCAACACGACAGAGGCTGGCCCAGCGGTGGGACTGACACAGAGCCCCAAACTTACGGTGAGAGACGCTTGAACCAGGCCTTTCTGAGCTGCGAGGCGTGGGCGCTTCCGTCATTAAGACTCCCAGAATTGACGTGCTTCTCTTTATCACTCGGAGGTGGCAGGGCAGCGGCGCCAGGTATCGTTGGATCAGCCCGGGTCCTATCACGGGCCTCGTGAGTCCACAGTCATCTGTCTTCGCTTGCATCATGACGTAGGGAAAAGCATAGGCTAGACAGCCGACTCAACTTCGCGTTCATCGGAGCTTTCACACTTGCCTCCGGATGTCCCGACCACGCAACCAAGCAGAAACAACCCACCCAAGCTAAAGTGTGGCAGCGTCCGGAGGGTGAGCGAAGCGGCTGCTGCGGCAACGTGAGACCTAGATCTATCTCAGTGCTCACCGTTTTCTGGAGGTTTGCACAGCTGGTCGCTGGCTGGATACTTGACTTGGCTCACCATCACGGTGCGGGATTCAGACATCACGCAGATGATGGAGATGATTGCGGCTTTTCAAGCGCAGCGTCGTCACCCACGGCCACGACAACTACCGGCCCACGGCTGCGGAGTTTTGCCAGTGGGCATTACAGTCAGAGACATTCTTGGCCACTGTTACGGGTAATTTTAACGCTACGCCGCCCGCCTCCTGCTGAGGGGCAGGGGGCACGGGAGACACGTCGGCAGCCTTGGTGCAACCCCCCCCAAATGCCACCTGTTTGCGGGGGTGGAGGCCCAGAAAACGCCAACAAAACAGCAAAAAGTGAGGGGTCCAGAAGACAAAGGCCGACAAGTGAGATAAAATCAGGCGAAGCCGGGCGGGGCGGGGGTGGAAACTGGACGCCAAGAACGCATAGGCACAGAAGCCTGCAACGATTGGCCGCTTGATGGACGCAGTTGCTTAAGGCCCGTTGCGGTCGTTCAGCGTATAAAATATTGATCAACAAATCCTCAGCTCCAGTCAATGATTGGAGTCCGAAGTTACCCAGCCGGCAGAGAGAGACGTCACACAAAGCTCAGGTTGTTGGAGGTCGGGCCGGCCCAGGCGGCCCAGGCTCTCCGCTTGCCGGCCGTGACCACCTCGCAGGATGCCGAGCCCAGCAATCTGAGCGGTTTTTTTTTGGCGGCGGTGCGGCGTCTATAAGGATGGAGCTGACGCTCCTCTCGCGTCTGGGCCATGCGGCGCTGGTCCTGCCCGAAGCCCGGTACCAGCTGCTGATCTTCCTATCAGACCCTCCAGGCCAGACGTGCCTCACGCCACCTTCGGTCTCGCGAGCGCCGGCGGCGCAATGCAATCGCCGAGTCTGCACCGAGGCATCCGGGTGTGGCGGGCTACTCCCTGGAGCTGGAGACTCCGCTCAGCAGCCCAGAGCGCTCGAGCGCCTCCCGAGAGAGATGGGCCCTAGGCTCCCGTATGGCTGCTTTGTGACTCCAGGTCCCCATCGAAGCGCCGACGCCTCGACTTGCAGGTTACCCCGGTGTCCCGAGCTCAGCCGAGCCAAGCTGAGTGTTCGAAGTTGGCCGCACGCCCCCCATGCTTTGCATCGAATGAAGGTCCGGTCTATACGACCCCGCCGGAGTCGTGGAGCAGCACAAGAGGTCGGACGGTCGAAGCGGTTGACCCCCAGAGAGATCCGGCTCCGGATGGCGAGGTATCTGGAAAAGTTGATTCAGGCGGCGCTGTCGGCGAGGCCCATGCACTCCCTTAGAAAGCCGTGTCCTTCCTCGCCCCACATCCTGGATTTCCGGAGGCCAGCAGAGCCTTTCGAGTTCATGGCAAGGCAGGTTCGGAACCTGCGGCTCCAGGACTCCACACTGCACACCCAATATTGCACGAGAGTAAAGTCCAGGAGGATCGCGCCTTTGTAATCGTCACGTGTTTTTGGTTGAGTGGCACAAGATTCTCCTGTCTCAACGTGCTTCGAAGAGTCAGAGGCAGTCACTCTCAGGTGAAGTTGCTTGACCAACTTGTTGCTTGGCGACAGGACCGCGCCCAGGGTGGGTGTGTCGGTCCCTGCGACCTCCGTGTTCTCGGAGCAGAGGGGCACGCTCTGCAAGAACTGCGAGCACTTGCTGTCGTGAGGTTACGATGACTGAGCGTCTCTTTGTGAGGTTGCCTCCAGAAACTCTGCTCACGGTCCGCTGTGGGCACGGTGAAAGTCGGCAGGCGAGGCTTCCCGCTCCTTTCGATGTGGTCGCAGTGGGCAGCAGAGGGACTCAGTGTCGAAAGCTATGTTATGTCCTTGGAGAGGCGCAGCTGTCCCATCTCCTGGATGGGCGGAAGAGGCGAGGAACACGAGGGCAGCAAGGGAAGCAACAGGTCAATGGGAGTCTTGCTGATCAGCAATATGCATGTCTTGCGGGGATCATCGCGTATCTGCAGGCTGAAGATACCCGACGGCCCACTTCTTCAGGCGCAGGGCAAGCGCCCGCGGAAGCTGCGCCCCTCCTCTCTTGAGTGCAGCCTCCTTTTCCAGGTGACTTTTCTCCTTCCCGAGTCGGCCGCCCACCTGCCCGGGGACCCAAGAGCTTCTGTTGAGAGCTTAATGTTTGCGGAATTTCCGGGGTTTTGTTTTTCGTGAGGTTAGTTGGGCCGTGGGCTTGGGGTCGCCGCTTAATTGTCTCATAATTCAAACTCAAGTCCTTATCTTCCAGTCAAGTGGCAGGGCTAGCAGGAGTCACCGCGCATCGTGAAACGGCGCTGCGCTTGTGCCTTTACGCTTTGTCGTTGGATTTAACAACCCTTTCCTGAGACCAGCGACGTTTCTGCAGCTTTGCTGTCGTGACGATTCGTGTTCCTGATTGGCAAACCTCTCGGTGAACACGGTGTGTCCGAGTCCTAAGCTTCCTAAACTCCAATACCGTGGTCTCAGCTGGTTTCATGTCGAATTGACAATCCTCTTGGTGCTGCGTCTCGGGGCGCTGCTCGCGTCGTGCCAGTTGGTTCTTGGCCTTGTACAGATATGATGCAGAGCTGCCACCCGCTGTGGGGTGGGGCCTGTGGTGGTACCCTTCCCCACCCCGGCCCCAGCGGTTTCGTTGTTGTGGTGGGCTCTGCACCCCCCGTAGCCGCTTTGATTGGCCTGAATTTTGGAACACGCAACAGGTGTAGCACAAGGACCTGCTGTCACGATTAGTGACTCAACTACTGTTACGTGAAACTTTAAGCACTTGTTCTGATCTTCTCCACTGCCATTCATGTCTACAACATGGTCCTGCGGCCCGCATCCGCCAGTCTTGAAGTTCTTTACGTGTTACTCTTTATCTTCCTTCTTGCCGTGGCACCGGTGGTACTGCTCATGTCATGATGTTGTGCTGCTCTAGACGGCGACGAGTCGACAATCAGATCATCTTTGACATCATGCTCAACATCATCGCTACCGTCGTCATCTTCATCATCAGTACCATCAAAAGAATAGCTGCCACCATCACCATCGCCATACAAGCCTCACAGTTAAGCCTTGTAATTCGTGTCTGATGCGGGAAACTACTGCGCAGATTGTTGCTTTCCGCACAGGGCAGGGGTGGGGTACCATAGGCTGCCACTGGCTCGCAGCGGTCGGTTGCATTTAGACTTTCCCGCCGCCTGCCTTTTGCTCCGCCTAGCACTGGTGCCACAGTCCGTCCGATTTTCAGCTCTGGAATTCCGTCCCAAACGGATCAGGTTCCCGACCGGTCCTCCGTCTCACCGAGTGCTGGGTCGTCAACGCAACGGACAAAACAAAGAGCCCGCCTTCACGAAACTTCCGTGCGGGTCTAGGCCTAGGGTAGCGGGCTAGTCCGATCGAACAAGTTCACAAATCCGGCCCACTCCGTCCTTTCATGAATGGTTTCGTGCTGGCGTTGGGCGGACGGCCATGCTGAGTGGACCGCTTCACAGGATGGCGATGGACATGGCGCCAATCAGGCGTCAAGGGTCCTCCAGTGCAGTGATTAACCTGTCCCCTGCCTATGGGCCCTGGTATGGAGCTCACTGATGCTGGCACCCACTCTGCATTGACAGACTTTTGCGACAAAGCAGCTGCTCAGGCTTACGAGGCAGATGGTCGTCGTTATCACATCAGTATGTTTCCGGCCATCTTCTCCCTGCCGACTCTTTTTTCTACAGCTGGTCGTCCCCCTGACGTGCTGATCGATTTGCCTGCCAGTTGCACGGGTAGCGTGCCCGATCGCTCCAGTGTTGCATGAAGTTTCCAAGACGCTGCAAGTTCGCAGCGTCAGCTTGTGCCTTCGCTTGCTATTGTCGAGCACGTTCGCCGATGGAGCCGAAAGCGCCATAGAATAGGAGCGTTTATGGAATATACCTGCTGCATCGATACTCCGACCTGCATTTGCACAAAAGAGTGAATTTTTCTGATGTGATCAATCACGTTATGGCCGTTGTCCTGAATCTTATCTGAATTCCGCCAGTGCATGGCGGAAGCCTTCTGGTTGCGCTCTTGAATCACGCCATGCGAGTAAGCATCTTGATCGAAGGTTTGTGAAGTGCTTTCTACACGGGCTTATAGATCCAGTATATGGAAGGATCATGAAGGATGTATTTAGAGAAAGTCTTATCGACATGGGATGCTCAGAGCTACCTGGATTTTCAACACTTTCGGTACATTCGTCTGAAAGCGGTGATCCAGCCAAGAAGTAGAAGTTCGAAGCGAGGCCCACGAGTTTGGGACTGCAGGAGGTCCACTTCCCCAGGCAGAAAGCATCAGCCATGGTGAACCCTGCAGTTGATGTGTCTTTCTATCTGTCTTTCCTGAAGAGGCAAGGGGAGATTCTGGGGCTGCGAGTGAGAGCTTGGCGCCCGGTCTTCGAGTCTCTCCTCTCTCCGCTCCTTTCTCCACTCCCCTCTCCGCTCCTTTGTGTCGAGGTTGCAGCGGCAGAGGGCGCGAGCCCGCAACTGTCGAGCCGAATGCAGCCCGGTACTCGGAGACGCCCCGCGGCCACTCGCCATGTTTTTTTGTGTTTTGCGGATGTGACAAGACCACCCGACAACATTGAGCGGAGCGCTGGCTCTCACTCAGCAAGCATGGATTTTTCAGCCGATGTCCGGGCATGGCCGTGACAGGACACGCAGGACCGGGGATGACGAGATGGGCGCATTGCTTTTCGGATCTTCCATGGCTTCCGTAGCTCCGAGGTCGGCTTCGGCCGAGCAGCGGGTGTCCCAGAGATCCCGGGCCGGGGCCTTGGAGTTGCAAGCCACGCTGTGCTCGCTCCGAGGTATTTGTGCCAACACAGGCTCCTGCCTTTTGCCCAGGCCGGTCAGAGTTTCGTTTCATACCCTACGTCTTTATGTATGAGCCATTTGGCAAGTGATGCCACGCAGGGCTGTCTCCTGTCTCCACTTGATTCTTCGTGGGTTCATTGAATCCCCCCCCAGCCATGCCTTGTGGCAATGTGGTCTCCACAGTGGCGGAAGCAACACGTACTTGCAAAGCGTCTCAACTTGCGCATGTCTTCAACGGGAGGGGAGTAGACAAATGAAAGCGCCCTGATGTTTGCTTGCCTCAACGACTAGTTAGACTTGTTGCCAGTCAAGGGTGTTCCACTTAACACCGCGACACTTCAACCGTGGGGAGATCTTGTTATGTCAGCTCTAGCAGACTCTAGCGCATTGGCAGGGCCTCTTGCAGCACTTGGTGAAGGCGCGAATGGCGGGAGTGGCCCAGCTCGAAGTTCGTCTTTCGGTCTCGAAGGCGCCTGGCTCCTTCCTCGTCGATCTCGAGGCCCGGCTCCGTGCCAAAGCGCGAGGGAGCCAGGAGGCCTCGGCCTCAAGTGAGCTTTGAGCCGGTTTGGGCCATTGCACGCCGTTTCACCGCACCCTCCGTGAAGAGCGCGAAGGCATAAAAAGGGTACACATCCGACTGTCGCCGCACTTCCTGGCGCGTTGAACTCCCGCCCTTCGCAGGTTTTGATGGGCTTTGGGCAGCAAGGCGCAGTTGATTTTGGCTGGTAGCCAGAAGAGAACCTTTGTCGCACAGGAAGGCCGGCGCCAGCTTGGGACCCAGAGAGCCGTTTCGCGCAAAGAGATGCCAGCGTTTTCGATTCAATTGCTTCGTGGCTGATGATGTGTTCTCCCCGGCGGATGACACGAACAGAAACCTTCAAACCAAAAAGGGGGCAAAGAGAAACCCCGCGCCTGGCCGGGCCAGGGGGTTCCCAAGGACCCAAGAATCCAGTGCTCTGCGCGTGCGCGCACGGAAGGGTTCGCCCTCTTGTCTGAGAGAGAGGGAGAGAGCGAGAGAGAGAGGTTGGTACCACTCGAAAACATCGAGCCTACCCAGCTGTCGTTCCGTTCTGCTGAGAGACCCGTAAAAAAGCGGTCAACTCATGATGAACACAGCGGGTGGTCGGGCGGGGCCGATGGCCGACCCCTTTTCTTCGCAGAAATTTGGAGAGGGAGGGAGTCCTGGAGGCCGGACAGCTGGCGGTGCCGGGAGCGGCGGCCCTGATCCCAGAGCTGTGGCGGGCTCGCGTCTGAGAGGCTGGGCTGCGGGTGACGGAGGCCAAATCCGAGCGGCGGATGTCGGTGGCCGATGGAGGGCTCCAAGTCGGCGGGCGCGCGCGGGGGCGGCTGTGTGTGGCTGCACGCGGCAGCGCGGTTCCCGCATCGCTGCCAGGCTGCCAGACGTCCCGGAGCACCATGGCCAAGGCCCAGGCCCAGGCCCAGCCGCGCGGCGCGGCGCGGCGCAGCGCGGCGCAGCGCCGCAGTCTCTGGGGCCGGCCGCTCTTCTCGGCTCGCTCTCGCTCTCTCGATGCGAGGCGTCGTGTCTCCGCTTCATGCAGACGACACACTCGAGATCATGGCGGACCAGATGCAGCTAGACGAGGCTTCTCACTGCAAAGCGCCGGCTGAACGACGGAAATGACGGAAATCTGTGTGGCAGATGGACAACGAGATCTTCGAGCCGTTGAACCAGTTCGACGATGACCTGAAGGACCTAATGATCGATTGCATCACGGAGAAGGCCCCCGCCCTTGCAGCGGAAAGCGCGCAGCAAAGGCGGGACTTTTTGTTTGATTGTCTCAGGTCCGCCGGATCCTCTCCTTGGACCCATCCAAGTACAAGAACGGCCGGCTGCCCTTCGGCTTGAAGCCTCACAAGGATCGATCGAAACTTGCTGCCCGCATTCTGCCAGCCCCGCCGCCCGCGCGGCTCTCGCCAGGGCATCGCCTTCGCCGACGACGAGACGGATCTGGAGGAGAGCGGAGTTGTCTTCAGCAAAGGCATCGCTCCCCGCGGCAGGCGGAGTTGGAGCGGATGCGGGAGCTCTATGAGCGGCTCAAGGAGGAGAACGAGCAGCTGCTGCGCCAACTCGAGGCCACGTGCAACGCCACGTGGGGCTCGGGCGAGCACCTGATCCTTCATGTCGTGCTGAGTATAGGCGGCACGGGCAGCGGCCGAGCGCTGGAAGCAGAAGTATCTGGAGCTCCAGAACAAGCCTGCAGAGGTTCAGGCGGGCCTTCCGGCACAACAGTTCCGTCCGCCATGGCCAATGCCATGCCTGAGGAGGAGAAGGTGGTGGTGTCGAGACCGGCATCCGTGAAGACGCTGCGCGCTCACCGATGTTTGCTGTGAGTCTCCGCTTGTCCTCGCTACATGCAAGGACTCCAGAGACGCCAAAAGAGAGAGAAGCAACACCGCCTCCAGTAATCAAGGGGCTCTCCGACGAGGAGGTCAAGAGGCGGAGACATCTCAGCAGGGTAGACAGGCAATGGAAAGAACACCATACCTTCAGGTTGCTAGAGGAGCAGGAGAAGGCAGGACAGCAAGCCGCTCTCGAACCGCCCCCATCGCATGTTCGGCCAAGGCCTACAAAGCCAAGATCGCTGCGCTGGAGAAGCGGATCAAGCAGCTGGAAGACGAGCTGGCGAAGCTCAAGGCGCCTTTGGACCGCAAATCAACGGGGATCTTCACGAATCTTCGGCTGAAGGCAGAGAAGGACAAAGCGGATGCGAAAGCCAAAGAAGCAGCCGAGACTGCCCAGAAGGTGCGCCAAAGCGGCCACATGTCGCAACACAGTGGGCTCAGAAGTCGCAGGAACGGGAGCGCCGAGAGACACTGCAGAAGGAGCAGGAGCAGGCGGCTTCAAAGGCCGCCGCGACCTGCCACCTCAGACTTGAGAGGCTTCGCCGGAGCCACCGGCTGGGTCGGATGATGCCACCAGCTCGGAAGGCCATTGAAGGCCTAAGAGCTCAGGGAGCTCAGCAGTCCTATCGACTTACCCCCCTTTATTTCCATTTTAGTGGTGGCCACCTCGCTGATCTCGGCTCGAGTGGAACCTCCTTGAGCCAAAGTACGGGGTACTCCATGTAGATCGCGAGGGAGCGGAAGACTTGTAGTGTCCAAAACAAGCAGTGCCAATCGGTTTCGTAGACTAGTAGAACAACAGAGTGTCGCCGTGAAGCTGCTCGAAATCGAGGCAGAGGCGCGGCGCCGGCAAAAGCCGCCAGGTCGAAAGTAGCAGCGAAGTGATGAAGGTCTAGCGATGCTCTTTCTGCCGCCTGAGCTCACTGCCTATGATGCTGGCAGAGCTCTCGGCGGGATATGGCCGTGGAGTTCTTCTGCCTCTGTCTCACTTGAGGCTGTGCACCTATGAAGCGGCCTGCCGCCTTGGACCTCTTCCTCGTCGCTGCCGGCACCTCTGAGCCCTGTGACCGTGACGCCCTCGTTATAACTCTCTTTTCAAAGCACGTCGAGCTGAAGGTCGTCTCTTTCGGCGTGTCTGCGCTGTGCGCAGCCGCGACCGACCTGATCCCGTGGAAGTTGCGGGAGCTGCCGATGCCAGTCGGCCGCAAAGAGAGAGGCAGAGAGAGCGAACCTCGGTGAAGGGGGTGGGAGCCAGACTGCAGCCCGAAGCAGCGATTTACACAGACACGTGCAGCCAGACCCATCAAAATGATGGAGGGGGCAGCCGCATGGGTCACAGGACTGCCTGTGGCTCCAGCCCCGAGCGAAGCAAAGAGAGAGAAGGAAAAGACGAAAGACAGAAGAAGGACAGAGTGACGTGACGGGCGGCCAGGGACACTTTCGTGATGATCCTGATGTTGGATGAGTTCATTGGGTTAGGGGGCTGAAGGCGATTGTGAATTGTGCGCGTGTCTGGGTAACCTTTGCCGGGCAGGGAGAGTTTTGATCGTGGGCACGACACAACGAGAAGACCACACAGACAAGCGCTCTGCTGCTTGCTTCTTGGCCCTGTTCCGAGGGCTATGAGGTGGAGGGCTCGTGCCACAGTGGCCTCACTGCCAGGGGCTTGCAGGTGTCTACTGTTTCTGTTGCTGCTCTGTCGGCATCTGCGGCCCAGGCACCAGCCGGTGGCCGTGCTCTTCCTGCTGCCACCGAGCGAGGCGTTGGAGATCTTTCTCTTCACTGGCCCTGGCACTCAGTACTCGTAGCTTCAGCTCTTCTTAGACTTCTCTTCGACTAGTTCCAGGTGGCAACCAGTGGACCATCAGTGCACCACGCAACTTGTGGCTCACACTGTTGGGATCCCAATGCAAGGACTGCCAGAGAACATGGGGAGAGGAGAGAACTATCGCGATTAGGTTCTACCTCCTCGGAGCCTGGTTCTTCGAGCTCTTGGTGCGCTGGCCACATGGGGCATGGGCATGCTGCGACTACGTTGTTTTTCTCCTCACTCTCGGGCGGCGAGTGTGAGTCTCTAAGATTCTGCTGCACCCGAGCACGGGGGCCATGAAGTCCTATGGCCGGCGTGGTTGGTCTGCCGGCGGCTCGGGAGTCGGAAAGGACCTGTTGGAGACCGGCTACCCATAGAACTCCAGGTGCAGGCGGCCCATCATTTGGGCTTCCCTGCCTTTGCGTTGCACAACATCATCAGTGGCTGTGCCGTCCCAGGCAGGCCGCGCGAGCACCAAGGAAAGGCACCAAGCTGCTTTGGTTCACAGGTACGGCCGTGGCCTGCTACACCGAGCTGACCGTCTTCTTTACCAGCTCCTTTTGGATCGCCAAGATGGTCGGTGCTGGTGACATCGTCCTCGTGCCCATCAAAGTGGGCATGGTCATCTTCACCTTCGCCCCAAGCTTAAGTCCAGAGTTTCCAGATTGTGCAGATTGTGCAGTGCTTGCAGACGTCTTTGGAGGTCCTCCGTGGCGGCTGTGTGCTGCTGCTGGATTTGCGGGCCATCCTCAACGATCAGTCCGAGCTGCCGGTGGCCAGCTGGCTGACCCAGGCCCCTTTGGAGACTAGGAGTAGGCCGTAGGCTTTGGGGCCGCCTTCCATCTCTGTTCTGTCAGTGCCTGGCGCTGGTGGGCATGAACGTGCGCACCCCAGAGGAAGGGCGTTTGGAGGGTAGCTTTCTCATGTCGATGTTGAACCATCTTTGGTTTCAGTGTGGATGCCGAGTGGTGGTGGGATGCCTTGCTCGGAGACGCCCTTTCTGCTTTCACGTTTCAGAACTGGAATAACAGGGCCAGTCCGCCCAGCGTCACTGGGCGCCTTACCGAACATAGCATGGGCCTGCATGGGCCTGCGTGGAGGTAGACTCGCGTAGATTTCCTTCCGGGATGTGCAGCTGGGGTGCCGTCAGTGGCTGCTCCGCAGATGCATTGAGTCATGGAGCCGAGAACCAGCCTTGCTGCCGAGAAGACGGGGCTAGATGTTCAGAACGGAGTCTGGCTGTCCCGAGTTGTTCTCGGCCAGGGCCGGCAGATCAGATCCCCCGAGGCTGCAAGGTGCAGGGACATGAGCAAAAGGCATCACCAAGAAAGAGGATGCGCAGCTTCTGAAAAGGGACAAACTATGACAAACTTGGTCAATGTATCTCATTCGCAAGAGTTTTCGACTGCCAAAGTTTCCGTTCCGACGTGGCACAAGGTCCTGAATCTACTCATCCTCCGCTTGGTCTCTGGTGCAGTGATGCGCGGATCCAAGGCTGGGGCAGCTTGAGTGCCTCCCTCGAGGGCTGAACGGGCCAAAGTCGCGGCAGGTGGATTCGGGCTGGACGTCGGTGATGGAGCGTGCTCTGAAGCTGGCCACAGCCCAAGCCTGCCCTGCCTGCCCTGCCTGCCCTCTGGAATCCCGACTTTTGGTGGATGTGCCAGGCCATGCATCACCTGGGCCCCACTGTGTCTGAGCGGATCCTGCTCGAGATGCAGAGCGCACATGAGGCAAACTCATGCACTTCCATTTCCAACAGCACAACAGCACTGCACCTCTGCCAGGATTCTTCCCATCCTTCCAGCTTGGAACGACTTTTCCAGTCAGCCCTCCGTACTTTGTAAGGCTTCCGGCACAGCACAGCAGTGCTCCACCTTGCTTTCCCAGGCTGTTTCGGCAGCCACCCTTCCTCGAGGAGAAGGCAGAGCAGAACGGGCAAGCATGGAAAGATGCACAGCAGCCTCTTCAACGAAGGCGGCTGTGTCTGCGCCTGTCCCCAATGGCCCTGGCTCTGCGCCGGGAGGAGCCTTTCGCAGCGTGGCTGTTGCAACTGGATGTTTCTGTGTTGAGCAGGAGGTCAGGTCGAGGCCCAGCCATCCTCGAGCATCGACAGGGAGAAGCTGTGTTGGGCTTGTCCACAGGGTCAGGCGTTCTGAGTCCATGCAGAAGAGACTCTTTTTAAGGCGTGAGATGATGATCAGACTGGCGGCTGAAGCTGCCGGCTTCCCCGTGGAGGCCCCCCTTTAACAAAAGCAGCGCCGGATGTTCAGAACCCTTCTCCACCGCCTTCTCTCCGACCTTCTCCGCTCTCGAAGCACTCCCTCAACGGCGGCCGGCGAGGCCGAGAAGCCTCTGCTGGATTCCGGGATGGACTCCAAGGCCGCTGTGCAGTTCTCCACGAAGCCCGGGGCCCAGCGGAGACGCTCTCTTCTCTCAGCCTTTGTGGGGAGCTACGAGTCTACGACCCCCAAAATTATAAGGCTCGCGAGGGAGCTCCCGGACCTGCGCCTGCCCAGCACTCTCGTCTTCGACTACCCCACGCTCTCAGCGGGGCCCACAGCGTGCGTACTCAGCTTGCTGTGCTTGGCTGCTCCGACGTCCCAGGCTGTGGCAGCTTACGCTGAAGAAGCGCAACGTCCGAGAGAGCGAAAGCACAGGGAGATCACAAAGCAACCTGTGGCGTCGAGCGATCCACTTTCCGTCATTGGTGGGGCATGTGCTTTTCCAGGCAGGGAATGAGATTAACGAGATTGAGCAGCTAGGGAGGATTCAGGGTTATTCAGTGTGGGGTGGGCAGGAGAACAGTCGAGAGGTGAAGAAGCAGCCTTGCTCGAGTAGCTTGCAGGCGACGCTTGCAGCCCCGGGAAGTTCGGTGCGCTGTTGGCATCCGGCACTGACGGCATAGTCGAGGCAGGGCCCGCTTCGAGGAAGCAGGTAGTCGAATCTTGATGGCCGGGAATGCCGAGCATTTTGCTGGAAGTGAGTCTTGTGATTCTGCGATGTCACCTTGTGCCTCCGATGAACCTCTGCATAGAGTGCGGGCACCATCTAAGAAATGAGCCACACTTCTATGCAGGAATTTGATTGACGTGGGATTTCTTGCCAGACAGGGTGAACATGGCACTACATATTATCGACACTCAGCAAGAGGGCCGAGCAGGGGAAGGCACGAGGTGAAGAACCAGGACGCAACGTGTTGCCGACATTTGCCAAGCGCAGCAAGACTTCCCGCAACGCTTGAGACACTCAGAGCTACGCAAGAAAAGCTGGCAGTTGTGAGAGGTGCCCTTCACGCGCTGGGAGCTGTGCGAGTACTACGATCCCAATCCTGATGCGTCCAGAGCCGAGTCATTATGTGTTGTCGCGTTGTTCCACTCTCTCGAAAGCTGCTAGGCCGGGAAAGATGTATCCGTGCCATGCGGCAATTCGACAGCACCATAACGCCAACGTTGACCCGTTTTCGAGCCAGGTGTTGCGGTTGTGGATTCTGATACGATGCCTGAGGCTTTCATCGAGGGTGCCGAAGATTTTGCTGCATCCTATTTCAACATCTCCGCACCGGAGGCCGCGGTGCGACAAAGCCCACAGCCGATACATGTCTCGCCAAAACATGCCTGTTGTGTCAGATAAGCCCCAAGCTCGCCATCCACTCATTTGCTTCTTGATCATCTCAAAGTCAAGCACCTTTGCTGAGAGCGTCCTCCGCCCATCTTGCCTAGTGTCTTGTAACTATGTAAGTCAGGATCCTTGGGTCAGCTCTTCTCTTGGCAGCCTCATCTCAACTGTGGCAGGCACGGGCCATGGATCCGCAGCAGCGCCTGGTGCCTCTACTCATCAGCCAAGCCCACAAACAGCTTAGACTCAGACAACTCGAGCCACCACAATTCGGAAGTGACGGCTTACGTCAGATTTGCCTTGCATCTCTGCACTCCGTGAGAGCAGCAGACTCCCACAAGATGGTTCAAGCCCTTCTCTAATGAAAGATTCCTGGTGGGCAAGCCGGAAACCGCTTTCCTTGCGTGCGGACGAGACCCGGGAGCCCTCAAGATCTGTCAATGTGAACACGTCCATATGTCAGGCATAGTATAGGAGAAAGATGACTCGTGCTGAGCTCCACTTTTGTTTGTTGTCCAGGTGCTGGAGGTCTGCCACGACTCGCTCCTGGATAGCACCTTCTCACGGGAGGCAGCTCAGCAGCTGCTCAAAGAAAGCGAAAGCGAACAAAACAGAGATGGCAAAGAGCGTGGACGCCGTACCCCCAAGCGGATGGTGCCAGGCACTGCTCGGTACTTCGACTGCTGCCATTGTTGGCGTGTCCAACAACGACTGGATTCAAGTCCAGTCCGGCGACATACGCAGGAGCCTCGGACAAGTACGACAGTGCGCCACGCGGCTCAGAGGCAGACGCTCTCGCTGAGGCAAGCTCAACCCTTACACGGCGACCGGCACCTCCGCATCCGTTGCCGCTGCTCGCCCGGGGCCCAAAAGGGCAGTCGAAGGGCAGAGAGGACCACAGGCCGCACAGGGGAGATCCTGCAAGGTGTGGCTTTCTGCCTTGGCCTGAAGGGCCCAGCCTACGTGGTGGACACGGCCTGCTCCTCCGCGCTGGCCGGGGACCAAGTGGCCTTCCGGGGTTCTCGTTTAGAGTATCTCTGGGTTGGTCGACGCGAAATGGACCGGCCAGCCTTCGTAAGCGCCTGGGCACACAAGCATTCGCGAGTGTTGCGCAGGTCTTGGAATGCAGCACGCTAACAGGGAACTAACTCATATCAATTCCTCGCCTGATTTGTCTATGCAGCTCTTGAAGCTTGGCCGCTGTAACTGTGGCGAGATGCCGTCAGGGGAGAATCTGCCTCAAAGCACCTCCGGGGAAGTTCAACTGTCTCATATCAGGTGGCCGTGGACGCTGCGGCCATGAACCTCCGGCGAGGGCGCTGCAGTGCGGCTGTCTCTGCAGCAGCAAATGCCGGGGCCTCCGCCTTGCCGCCTACGCACATCGCATCGCTCGCAGCGGGAGGTGATCGCCAGCCCGGCGACCTTCATCAGCTTCAGCAAACCTCGGATGTTCCGTCCTCAGTCGCAACCAGTCGGCCCGGCCACTTGGACTGACAGAAGTTTCGAGCTGCCCAGGTTGTCACCGCGAGGACGGTCACATGCATTTGATGCCTCTGCTGATGGCTACGGTCGCGGAGAGGGCGCAGGCCAGGACCTTGTTCCATGGTGTTTGCCTTGCGGCGTCTGTGCTCCCGAGGTGCGGTGGCGCTGTGTCCGCTCAAGGCGCACAGCGGCAGCGCTCGTGCTGCCGGGCTGCAGACAGGCAGCACCGCAGAAAGCACTCTGCAGTCTCACTGCTGCATCTGAGGCAGCTCTACGAGGAACCGCGGTGAACCAGGATGGCAGAAGCTCGACCATGACGGCGCCCAACGGGCCCTCACAGACCATGGTCGTGGCCACGGCATTGGCGGAGGCGATGCTGCAGCACCACCAGGCAGAGCGCAGGGCAGGGGGCGCAGGGCAGTGTGCAGGGAGCAAGCGAAAGCAAAACCCATAGAGGGAGAGCAGTGCAGGCAGAGCTGTGGGCAGGTGCATCACTTCGAAGCCCACGGCACGGGAACGCCCTTGGGCGACCCGATCGAGGTGGGAGCCCTTCAGGCCGGCAGCCTCGAGGAGGGAAAAAGGCAGCAGCCCGTGCCCGTGGCCGCGGTGAAGACCAACGTCGGCCACCTCGAGGCCCAGCAGCAAACAAGAAGAAGACAGTATGTCATATGACCGATGTTTCTGTGTCTTTGCATCTCAGAACCTGTCTGTTTTGGTGCAGGGAGCTGCTGCCTCTCCCGGGCTGCTGAAGACCGTGGCCCTCCTGAGCCGTCGGACCGCCGGCGACTTGGTGTCGAGTGCCCGCGTCCATGCGGTCCCCATCCCTCCAAAAAGCCCAGAGGCATTGTCTCTGGTGCACCTGCACTCGCTGAATCCGCACCTCACCTTGCTGGAGGACGTGCCGCAGGCCTGAGCCTAAGAAGCTTAGGGTCCATCTTCGGGCACACCTGTTCTCCTCAGCAGGTCTTCCCCTCAGAGCACTTCCCCCTGCCTGCGCGGAAGCCGAGAGCTGGTGGCCTGTCCTCCTTCGGCTTTGGAGGCATCGAGAGAGTTTGCCAGATGCAGGTTGACAACACTTGGCTCTCCGAACAACATGTTTTCTGTGTATGTAAGTGTTGTATATGTATGTATATGTGTATATATATACACACACATACTGGCTGGACAGAGCAGAAGAGATGCGAAATCTCTGAGATTTCAACATATGATTTGTAACCTGCATTTGGCGATGAGGTCGACAATTGCAAAGTCAGTACGGTTTCTGCATGTTGGTTATGCTCGTACCCTTTCACTGCATTTTATTGGGGTTTTGGAGAGTTGCTTGCAGTGTGACAACATTGAGCAACCCAGCCGCGATCGCTTGCAGGCACAAACGCGCACGCCATCCTGGGTGAATCTGAGGTTGTGGTCGATGTTGTGATGACACGACCAGCAGAGTATGTGAAGAGGTCCTTCCCCTGGAGGGACCCTGGCTACCGGCTCTTGCATCGCCAGGACGGGGATAACTTTGAAGTGACGATGTCTTCGGATGTCTACGACACCGTGTCGCATCATGTTGTCTTCGGGTCCATCGTGACACCTGGCGTCGTCTATGTGGAAATGGCATTAGAAGCTACCCGGAAGCTTTTTGGCCACAAGGCTCAACTCCGCGACGTGACGATGGTCTTCCCATTCGTGGTCCCGAAGCGCTTCGAATCTGATGAACCTGAGCCAAGCATGAGGTTTGTGTTGAAGAACAACACGCGCTTTGAGATTCAGAGCACGAACGGGAGTGGCAAGACGACGGTCCACGTCGAGGCCTCTTTGGACCACTCAGGCGGCGTGTTCAAAGACTCGGCCGTGGACTTGGCCTCGCTGCGCAGCCGCATCACCGAGCCCGTGGAGACCAAGGTCGTCTACGAAGCCATTCACTCCGTGGGCCTCTACCTCGGCCCAATGTTCCAAGTGGCAAAAGAGCTCTGGAGAGATACAGAGACCGGGTCAGAGGTCTTAGGACATCTGCGGTTGGACCCGCATGTCAAGAACGTGGGCTACATCATGCACCCTGCCTTGCTTGATGGAACGATCCATATCTTGGCAACTGCATCTATCGGCAAGAATGTCAGTGGCTTGAAGATCTTCGGGGGCGTGGGCAAGGTGTCCGTGGTGCGCCAGGAAAACTTCTCGAAGCTGTCCAGCTACTGGGTACACCTGCAAGTCACGGAGTCCTTGGAAGCCTCCCAGACCTTCAACGTCTCTGTGCTTGCAGAGGACGGCGGACTTCTGATGTCGATGGAGGATGTGGTCTTCCGGGCGGTGAAGCCAGAGCAGATTCAGATGGCCATTGCGGCACAAGGAGGGAAGGAAGAGCAGAAAATCTACGATGTGGAATGGTCCGAATGGTCAGAATCAGGACAGGGCCCCTCAAGCGTGCAAGAGACCCGCAGCTCGCTTTTGGCAGTTGCAGATACTCCGGATCTGCATGATGCGCTCTGCAATTTGAGAGCCGAGCCAGAGACCCTGTCCTTGGAGGCTCTGCATCAGAGTGACCTAGCCGTTCTCTTGCCCAAGTTCTCGCGAATCTTGCTTGCCTTTGCCAGCGCCCAGCGGATCTCGGTGCTCGAGGCCCTCATGGCAGTCTTGGCAGTGCTGCAGGCCTTGGCCAAGAGTAAAGGCAGTCTGCCGGAGCTCTGGATCTCGACTTTCTGTTGCCAGTGGGCCAAAGCTGGCGATTTTCAAGGCCAGCCACTGCCTCTACACTCAGCGATCTGGGGCTTGGCCCGTGCAGCCAGGAACGAGCTCCCGAACTTGCGCCTCTTCTGCGCGGACGCCCCAGGCGCCTCTTCGCTGCCATCGCTCCTGGGCGCCTTGGAAGCGCAGTTTGGATCCGAGGGGGAGCCCGCGGAGCACGAGAGAGCCCTCAGAGGGCCGCAGCCGGTGGTCTACGTACCGCGCTTGCAAGAGGCAAGCCTCACCAGCAGCGCGTCCGACTGGGCAGGGCGTCAAGGACTTACCTTGATCACAGGAGGCTTAGGAGCTCTTGGCCTCTGCTTTGCCCAGTGGCTGCTGGAAAATAAGGGTGCGGTGGCACTCGTGTCCCGCACCGGTCGTGCGGCTGCCGACTGTCAAGTCGCCTTCCGACGCGTGGCTTCCAAAGTGACCGTGCACCGGGCGGACTTGGCTAAGGCAGACGACACGAAGAAACTCTTTCAGCAGCCGCTCTTCAAGGATCTCCGCGGCATCATCCATGCTGCAGGGCTCCTTGAGGACCACATGATCGTCGATCTGACCCGAGAGCACTTCGAGCGACCCCTTGCTGCTAAGATTGATGGGACCTTGAATCTCAACGAGGGGCTCTCTGATCAGAAACTTGACCTGGAGTTCTTTGCTCTTTTCTCTTCCGTCGCGGCACTTCTGGGCACACCTGCCCAGGGCAACTATTGCGCGGGGAATGCTTTTTTGGATTCCTTTGCCGCGCACTGCCGCGACAACGGCCGAAAAGCTGTAAGCATCCAGTGGGGTCCCTGGGCGGAAGTGGGCATGGCGGCGCGCGCCAGCACCTCCGAATCCAGCATCGCTCGTCTCAGTCCTGCGAAAGGGATAGAGGCCATGCACGCTGTCCTAGCGGCTCAAAGCAGCCTGCGGAACGGCGTCGTGGCCGTGGCCCGCTTTAAGTGGACCACACTCCTGGGCCAGCTGCCGCGCGTGCCGGCCTTCCTTAGTAAGTTCAGCGTAACGAGCAGCAAGGGCAGCAAAGGGATGAGCAACTACACCGTAGAGGACGTGCGGTCCTTGGTGGTGGACTCACTGACGGATGCCTTGGGCACGGAAGACTTTGACATCAACACCCCGTTGATGGAGCTGGGACTGGACTCCCTGGCTGGGGTTGAGTTCCGGAATCGCTTGCAGGCCCTGGCTGTGACTGTCTGTGGCATTCTCTAGCTCTAGCTTTCTCCATTTTGGCAGGCCTCGGTTGATGGCATCAACCTGACACCGACGCTGATGTTTGACTACCCAACAGTTCCAGACTTGGTGGAGTACATCTGGTCCCAGGCCTTTACTCCAAAACGAAGGTTAGCTAGCTTCGCAGAAGCACCTGGCGGTCCAGCGCCAGGTGGGGCCAGCGGAGGAAGAGGAGCTCCACGCAGTGCAGGCAAGGCGGCAGCAGAGCACTGCGGTGCAGAGTCGCTTTGGGATGCATTGCCACATATGCACAGATCTGCAGCGGCGCTCTGGCTCTGCTCTCCATGCCAGGCCGGGGCCTCCCTCGGCAGCCAACTCACCGTGGCCGGGCACAGCGGCCGCTTTCCTGGCAGCCTCTCCAACCATCCAGGTAGGACCGGCAGGAGTCGACAAATCCTCTAGTTCATGGTGCTGGGATGCAGGTGACTTCTGGAGAACTCTTGCTTCTGGACTTGATACCACTGCCGACTTGCCACCTGAACGTCTCGACCTCAACACTTCTTCAAATCCCGCGCCGTGATGCGCGGCTCTTGACAGTGACTCCCGAGGCTGGGACATGGATGCGTTCTTCGACCCAGACCCGGACACACCGGGCAAGACCTACGTCAGGCAAGTCTGAGAAGCTTATAGGAAAGGGTGTGGCAAGCTTCTGTGCTTCTGTGTGAGGCTCGGGCACTTCATTTTGGGCATCGATCAGTTCGACGGCGAATTCTTTGGGCTAAGCGAGATGGAGCAGCGTGGCATGGTGGGGATCCGAGGGACCCGCAAGCGCCGTCAGTCATGCAACGCTGTGGCACATCAGGACCCGCACCAGTGGCTGACCCTCGAGATAACCTACGACAGCATGTTTGCTGCAGGTCGATTCGCTCGGTCACTCATCCGTGGGTTTTGTCAATTTGGTATCGCATGTGTCCGAAGAGTTCGACATTGCAAGGTTTGACGAAAGAGACGATGAATGGACTGGAGTGCGGCATCTATGTGGGCTGTGCAACGCTCGGTGGAATCGCACCTGATATCCCTGCTTTTGGACCCTTCACGAACATCGGTGCGACCCCAAGGATGGGAAGTTTACATGTCATGTGAACGACACTTCCCTGTAGATGCCTTAGGCTATGCTTACTCGGGGCTCTCCGGACGCGTGTCCCACACGCTGTCTCTCCGTGGGCCTTGCTTCACCGTCGACACGGCCTGCTCTGCAACGGCCGCTGCCTCACAAAAAAAGCGATGGCTGTCGTCGGAGGCGACGTTTGCGCCCTTCCCAGGTGGTGGCGCTGGACTGCGCCAGCCAAGCACTGCGACTGGGACGTTGTCTGCAGCTCGGGAGTCAAAGCCCACCACGCGACTTTGCAGTCGCCACGAAAGAGGCCGCTCTGCAGCGGCCAGCGGCGTGAACCTGCAGCTCTCGGCCGCCATCTGGGCACAGCTCCCAAGTCGCGACAGTCGCTGCAGAGAGATGTCACAACCTGAAAGGTCGGCTTCGCCAAGATGCGGGGCCTCGCTGCGGATGGCAACTGCAAGACCTTCGACACCTCTGCCGATGGCTTTGCGCGCGGAGAGGGCATGGGCCGCGGGCTTAGTCGAATCGGGAGAGAGGCGCTGACAGAGGTGAGCCGACACCTGAGCTTGGTTGAGGCTCCGTCTACATCATGGCAGATGCGAACGCAACTCCGGCCGCACTGCTGGGCGGCGTCGCCCGGGCCTCAACATGTTCCTCTTGAAGGGCCTGAACGACAGAGTATTCTCACGTCAGGCCACGAACCATGATGGTCGTGCAGCCACCATCACGGCTCCCAACGGCACAGCCCAGCAGCCACTCGGCAGGGTCTTCGTCGGCCTCGGCCCTCGTCTCCGGCTTTGGGGTTCGGCGGCTCTGAGCAGAGGCGCGTGATCCGGGCGGCCTTGTCAGAGCGAGGCACGCGGCCGGAGGCCAGGCCTTCGCCACGCCTGGCCCCTGCTTCGCCGCCCCTTTTTTTTTGTGTTTTTGGGGGTGGAGGCTCTCGCCTGCCTGGAATGTCACGGCACGGGCACTGCACTGGGGGATCCCATCGAGGCTGGGCTCCGTAACCCAGCACCCGCTTCCCGCTTCCCGCCTTTTTCTGACAGGTTGGAGCTCAGAAGGCTGTCTACGGCAAAGGCCGTGAGGCTCCAATGATACTGGCGGCGGGAAAGACGAACCTAGGACACCTGGAAGGACCCCGAAAAGGCATCTCCCTCCCCTCCCTCCCCACTCGTCTCGAAGCCAGGCCTAGGGCCGACAATTGGGGAAGCACCTCAATCCCAGTATAAGGCATCCACTGAGAATCCGTATGTGAGCTTTGTGGGTCCGGTTGAAGCGATGCTTTCTAGTCGAGTCCTGTTTGTGCTTGGAAGGAGCCGCGGGCGTGGCTGGTCTCAGCAAGGCTGCCCGGGCCGAAGCTACGGCGAAGCCGCTCCTTCCTACGAGCTTGAGCCTTCCGAGCCTTCCGAGGTCCTGCTGCTGCAGAAGGCCCAGGTGACGCCCCTCTTGTGGCTCAAGCAGCTGCCACCTCAGAGCTGACATGTGACGATGTGACATCGAGCCGTACTGATCCCTGAAGGCTGAACCACAACGTGGAGCTCTCCAGCTTTGGCTTCGCTCCGACGGAGCTCCTTGATGCGACGAGGGCGGAGTGCCGGGCGGCCGTGTCGTCGTTCGGCTTTTCCGGCACGAACGGCCATGTGGGCGCCCCGGCGCGGGCGCAACGCCGCAACACAGCCTTTGCCGGCTCAGCGCTGTCGTGATCCCGAGGCCATCTTGGAGGTCTCTCGCAGCGAGGCCCCGGCAGACCGCCCGCGGCGCCCGGCGGCCTGCTACTCTCGCCGACACCTGCAGCCCTACCGGCAATGGCTCAAGGCTCCAAGCACTGGACAAGCCTGCGTTGCAGTTGCGGTAAACGACTTGAAGACGAATCCACATGGCGCAGACTCGGCGCAGACGCACTGTTCTTTAAATGTACCTAGTACGCTAAGGAGCAGATGCATTTGGAGGCGAAGATGCATTGCAAAGCGCATCGGCAGGCGCAGACGCATTGCGAAGACGCGTTGGGAGGCGAAGAAGCATCGCGACGACGCATCACAAGGCGAAGACACATTGCGCAGACGCATTGGAAATGCGCACGGCTTCAGAATTCGCATTGCGAAGAGAAGGTCCAGCCAGGTGCTGAAACGTGACAAAGCTGCAATCCCAGTGTTTCGTGCACGAATGAGGACAGACACGCACGGGAGTCGCAAGAGCTTTGATAGAGTCTAGAGTCTAGAGTCATGGACGCTCCATCGGTCCAGCACGCCATCTTAAGAGTTCCTGGTTGATAAGGGAGCGGGTCTAACAATCAGGGGGGCTCCATCCGCCCGAGCTCAAGGCTGATAACGGATCTGACTCTAAACACATAGGTGCCCATCATTCCCCCATCCTCAAAGCTCAATTTTCAAGCCACGGGCGCCCCAGTCCAAGGCTCCCATCCGTGGACTTCCAGGTTGAAAATAGACACATCATTAAATTAGTTCGGTACACATCGTGCAAGGATCTGGGTCGCTTATTTGGGGAAACCTGGCCCCGGAGCATGCAGCCAACCCAGCATCACGACCCAGTTCGTCGTCAAACCCCCTAATTCGGCGTCACCACCTGATACATCACAAGTCGGCATCACTGCCCCAATGCGGCGTCACACTTCGGCGTCACGCGATCCAATTCGGAGCAGGAGATGATTCAGGTGTCACAACCCAATTCGGCGCTGCACCACAATTCGGATTCGGCATCAGGTCTTGTACCAATCCGCGTGGCAACGGCCCTTGAGTCATTGACGAGTTGCGATCGCCAGGACATCTGTTACGAAGAAGTTTGGATCAGCGTCGAAGCGAAAGGCTCGGCTTCAGCGAGTGCCAAAGGCCCGAGTCTTGAGCAGCGAATGCGGAGGCGAACTCCAGCCGCAGCCTTTGCAGCCCTTCGTCCTGGTGGGCAGCGGCGCTGTCTGCGGCGCGATGGCCGCCAGCAGCGCCTGTGCCGCCAACCTCGAGCCAGGAGGCGAGAGCCGGACCCGAAGCCGCCAAAGCATAGGTGGTCTGCGAAAGAGTCCGTGAGGTCGGGAGAAAATCGCAGAGGCCTTGGCCCAGACTGGAGCCAAAACGGCCGTTTTCGTCGGCAGCTCCGGCGAAGTGCCTTTGCGGAGCAGAGTGGAGCCAGCATGAGGTGAGGAAAGCTGCCTAAATCCTACCTGAGGCGCCCGATGAGCCTTTGGCTCATCTGCTCAGATTCCTCCAGGCGCTTCAGCTCGCCGCCGTGGACACAGCCGTCGTCGTGACCGTGTCCCAGGCCCCGTCCATCAAATTGTTCCATGTCTGATTGATCGGCCGGTAGGTCGATGTGTATGTGCACAGCTTCATGTTGTACTTACCTGCTAATTGTTCGTGTTCGTGTTCATATCAAGAGAAGAGCTGAGCACCCCCCGATCCGAGACTCCACCGAGAAGCATATTCAGAATGTTGCTGCTTGTTGCTGCCAGCAGAATCTACATTTCCCGTGCGTGAGCTTCTTTCAAGTACGTCTCGATCAGCCAGGTTTTTGATCTGCAGTCTCATCATCAACTCTTGAAGCCACGATTCTACAGAAGCGTTTTGGATGCAGGGAGCTTCGATGGACTCTGGTGCCGCTCTCTGGGGTTTGGCTCGCTCTGCCGGGGGCCCTGGAACGAGTGCCGGCGGCAAGGGGCCAAAAGGCTTTGAATCGAATTGGGCACGCAACTGCGCAGATGTCCTTGTCGTAGCCCAATGCTGCATGCCTTGACATTGCCAGAGGCACGGCTGGAGATGCGGCCAGAGATCCGGCTCTTAGAGTGCCTTGAGAAAGCTGCCAGCGCGGTCGAAGCCTCAGTATACATGGCGCTTCGATGCGCTTCGAGTGGCTTCGCCCCGAGGTCTTGCCCGCGGTGCAACGTCTTCTCTCCGGGCCGGAGATGGAAATCTCCCTGAGAGATGCAACGGAGGCCGAGCGGCTTTTTTTCCAACTTCTGCCTTGTGCCGTGCTGGCCAGGCCCTCCAGGCCCTCCAGGCCCCACGGCTCCAGCGCTGCGCGGCAGCGGCCTCCAGCGTGCAAAGTCGGGACATCTTGCGGGGCCAGATCGGTGCTTCGCTGGTCACCGGTGGCCTGGGAGGTGCCATCCCGGGAGGAACCAGAGAGGAACGAAGGGGCGGAACGAACGGGCCGCAATTCCGAGAGGCTTGGGCCTTCTCGCAGCGCAGCAGTTGGCAGATCTGGGGGCGAGCACGTGCAGCGCTCAGAAGGAGAGTCAAGAGAGTTGCTTGCGCCGGCCTGTGTGGGCCGCTCGCTTCGCTCTCTTCAGGCTGGTTCTGGCCTCGCGGAGTGGTCGCGCGGCGAACTCGGCAGCGCTGGCACGGTTGGAGTTGGCCAAGGCAGCCCGAAGCCGAGTTTGGTGGCTTTGTCGCCGCGCTGGTGCGATGCAGTAGAGTAGTCGTCGTAGCAGATCCCATCGAGCTTTTGATTCAGATACGCGAGCTGTACTGGCTCAGCTCAGGTCGTGGAGGTTCGGAAATGCGATGTTAGCCGTGCTGAAGATGTCGCAGCACTGACACAATCGTTCCAGGCTTAATGCAGCTGCTAGCTTTCGGAGGTCTGCCTGTAGCTTCGGGACCGAGGTTGCAGCATCTCGACAAGCTCCACGCCATCGTGCATGCAGCCTCCAGCTCGGGCAATTACAAGCGCCGTTCAAAGTTGAGCCGGAACAGGACGAGTTCCTGAGGCAGGGGTGCTGGACCGCTATGCGCTGAAGGACCTCACTTCGTCCAGGACCGGACATTCGAGAAGCTCATTTTTCTTAGAGTCTTCTGGAGTCTTCTCTTTCCAGATTCCAGGCTGGATGTGACCTTGGGCCCCAAAGCCAAGGGCGCCTGGCACCCGACAGCTTGGGCAGAACATCTCGCGCCTTGCGTGCTGCTGAGGCCTGGCACTTGCAGACCTTGAGTGAGCGGCTCGTGATGTTCTCCTCGGCCGCCGGCTCGGACACTTTGCCGACGGTCTTATGATCGTCTGATCTCAACAGAGAGACTCCAGAGGTCTCTTCCTTCCTGGGTCTTTCCAGTGGTGCCGCCTATGCTGCGCCCTGGGCGCTCTCACGGAGCGGACATCGATTGCAAGCTTCGCAAAGTAAAACGCAAGGCTGCGGCGAATGCCTACTTGGATGCCCTCGCCTCCTGGCGCAACACGCAGTCGCAGTGCTCGCCTGAGGAAAAGAAGCATTGGCTCCCGTGAATCCGTGCGGCTTGGCATGCGCACTCGAGGGGGACTGCCGTGAGCATCCGCTTCGGCCCGGTGGCCGATGTTGGCATGGCCGCGGCCGTCGCCTCAGAGCGGGCAGTGCGTCCACATTCCTGGATTCCTCCATCTCCGCTTCCCAGAAGGAGAGCGGCCAAGCCCCCGACGGCACTCATCCCCTTCAACCACTGCCGCTGGCGCAGGCCAGCGGTAGCTGCGTTCGTGACCGCTCTTCAAAGGGCAGCCGGGCAGAATTCAGGTTACCAGCGGCCTGCGGCTCTTGCTGGCACCGCAGCCGCTGAGCTGGACGCCCCTGACGCTGACGCTGGCGAGGGCGGACTGGGCCGCGTACTTCCGGCAGTCCACTGGCCTCGCCCCGATGCTCCAGGACTTCCAGCTTCAGGTGGAAACCACGAGTTCCAAGAGAGACTTACCAGTAACTGCTAGTAACTGCTACTAGGGGTCTTTCGGTTGGCTTGCGGCGTGCGAACAGGTGGCCTCAGAGACGGAGCCAGATGCAGAGCGGCTGCGGCTGCGAGAGATGTCGGCATCGGAGCGGGAGAAGGCAGTGCTGGCTTCCCTACACGAGGCTGCCTCCTCGATGCATCTGGACATCCAAGAGGACACCCCGCTGATGGAGGAGCGAACCTCGCATCACAATTCTCATCACAACACTGTAATCAGAAACCATCAGCAATCAGCAACCCAAGTCCTCTGCCCCATCCTGCCGCCACCGTCACACGTTTCAGGCAGGCATTGACTCCCTCTCTGCAGTGGAATTCCGTGGGAAGATCTCCACTGAGTTCCGGTCCGTTCGCCTGCCCAGCACGCTCATGTTCGACCATCCCACTCTCAAGGCAGCGGGTGCATCTCGGAGAAGTCGGCCAACAAATCACGAAACCGAAGAAACAGACTAAATTCCAACTTCTGAAACGAAGCCCAGGCAGCCAAGTCGTGTCTCAAGAGCAAGTAATCACACAAACGCTCAGTGTTTGTGTTGCTCGGGTGTGGAGGCGGGGTGGTGCTGGTGCTGGTGCTGGTGCTAGTGTTGGTGCCGGTCTTGGCGGTGGTGGCTTTCGTGGTGGTGGTGGCGGTGGCAGTGGTGGTGCTGGTGGTGCTTGCTGGTGCTTGTCGGTGCTCTGCTGGTGCTTGCTGGTGCTAGTTGGTCTAGTTGGTGCGAGTTGGTGCTGGTCGTGCTAGAAGGCTTTCCGACCCGCGGTCAAGCAATCGGATCCACTAGCACAGGCATGAAATGCTTGGAGTCTCATAACATTTGCAAGGGAGCAAACACATGGATGTGGGTCATCATTCGGTGAAGGCATGCCTTGTAAGTGCTCGTGGACGATGCCTTAGCAAGCAAGACAAAACTCTGAACGCAATTCTGGGATGTGAGACTGATTGTGGGTCGAGGGACCCGTTGCCTTTTCGTTTGTGGCATGCCCGTAGAGGCCATTTCGCAGCACATTTCGGGACAGCTGGCAGAGGGCGCCAAGCCTGTTGCCTTGTCTCCTACCTCGCTGACGGTTGCTTCGCCTTCCACTACGACAGCAATGGACCTGGAAGTCAGCGGGGCCGCATGCACACTGCCTGCACCTGGAACTCCATACGGTGGTGTAGCTTGCAGCCTCTGGTATGGAACGGACTGCGTGACAGAGATGCCGTACTCCCGCTGGGACGTGGAGGATTACTATGATCCCGAGGCTCCATCTGGCTTGGAGATGTATGTGCGCCACGCAGCCTTCGTCGAAGGGGTGGATCTCTTTGGTGCGCAGTTCTTTGGGATCAGCAAAGTGGAAGCAGAAGCGATGGACCCGCAGCAACGCCATCTGCTGGAAACCGCCTTTGGAGCCTTTGGTGACTCTGGTTGCTCCAAGGCTCGTCTGATGGGCTTGAGAGCTGGCGTCTTCGTCGGTCAGGACAAGAGCGACTGGAATCGAATGTTGTCAGCAGCTCATGCAGGTCCTTTCGCTGCCACCGGTGGCTCTGCTTCTATCTCCTCCAATCGTATCTCCTACAGCCTAGGCTTGAAGGGGCCGAGCGCCACCGTCGACACTGCATGCTCCTCATCTCTGGTGGCTGCCGACACTGCCGCAGCAACAATCAGAAGAGGTCGTTGCGAGGTGGCCGCGGTCTGTGGTGTCAACATGCTGCTCCTACCGCAAACTTTCATCGCCTGCTGCCAAGCGCGCATGCTGTCTGCCGACGGTCGGTGCCACACCTTTGACTCGTCCGCCAGTGGCTATGCACGTGGTGAGGGCTGCGGGGCACAAATTCTGGGGCCGTCATCGGCAGCCTCTGCAGATTCACTGTCAGTGGCTGCTTTTGCCGGGAGTGCCCTGAATCAAGACGGCCGCAGTGCCAATCTCACATCACCCAATGGCCCATCGCAGACGTCAGTCATCGAGGTGGCACTCCTGGAAGCAGGCCTTAGGCCGGAAGATGTGGGACAGGCCAGGCGCGCGTCTCATTCGGTTATGAAGGCTTTAAATCACAGATGATGAGTCATAGCTTGTCATAGATGACAGGTGGAGACCCACGGCACGGGCACGGAGTTGGGTGACCCCATCGAGACCGGGGCCTTGCGAGCTGCCTTGGGCTCTCGCAGTTTCCCTCTGCTTCTGGGCGCCGTGAAGTCCAACCTTGGCCACCTGGAGGGGGGCGCCGGCATGGCGGGGCTCCTGAAGCTGGCGGGGCTCCCAGAAAGAGCAATGCGAGCAGAGAAAGCAGACAGAGCGAGCAGAGAGCCGCTCACATGGTACTCTGAAACAGGGTTGACCTATCTTAAGCGGGTATTTAGATCTACCAGCCAGGCAGCTGGGTGACTTCATATTGGAAAAACATCTACAAAATTTGGGCGAAGGATAGAAATATAGTGATTTGGGTGGCATAGTCAGGACTCCGATAGTCTAGAAATGGGACTCGTCGTTAAACAGATAATTTAAGTAAGGTTCCCACCAACACACTTACATATCCGGATTCAGATACTGTCAACGAATATCCAGGGATGTATTTAGACCAAAGGTGTGATTTGTCACAGACTCGTCTACACGTACACCTTGAGGGCTTGCTACGTTTCATGCAACTTTGCCAAGTTTGTTTCACTCGCAGCTTGACTGCTCAAGACGCACTTCTAGTGACGTCCAGCAAAAGGTTCGCCTGCGCTTGGGAGTGTACGTGTTGCCTCTTAGCTGAGTAAATTAAACAACGGAAACTAGAACTTTGGATCGATCTCCAGCTTTGCTTTGCATTGCATTTGCCATTGCCTTGCTTGCTGGGTATACGATTGGAGGCGCCCTGCTTTGTGACCGAGACTTAAGTGGGATCCTCTGCTTTTCACAGGTTATCAGCCGTAGGACCTCTTGCTTCTGATTGTGTATCTCTCGGGTCGTCTATCCGACAAGCTTCTGAAACACAACCGATGCCATTTGCCCCGTTCTACCACGCCTTCGCTTGCCACGCTAGCCGAGCTCGATCAGAGTGCTGCGCCGCCGCAAGTGCCGCTGCTTGTGCTTTGCCTGCTCTGCCTTGCGTTCCTGGATTCGCACCTTCCACTTCCGCCCTCTGTTCCTTTGTGGGGATCCAGAGGGCGCCCGTTGGGTCCGGGCAGGATGACTGGCGCCACGCACGCGATTGCGGTCCCAGCATGCCGCGTGCAGCCCTCGGATCAGGATGGGCTCCCGCCTTCCTGCTGCACCGCCGGCATCGGCATTGCCGTGGGCTTCTGAACCTCGATGCGGGACGCACTGGGTCCTGATGCCGCTCAGAGAATGCGATCGCTCAGGGCGTGCATGATACCCGTGCCGACTTCGATGTCTTGAGGCACGGGGTGTCTGACCCCGTTGAAAATATTCAAAATATTCTTGATGATAAAGTCGAGAATCTCAACGGAGCTGGACAAGACTTTCGATGCGAATCGTCGCAAGTTGGCTTTTTTTGCCGCAGACCAACTTTTTCCTAGGAAAAGAGCTGGTTTCTTGGCCCAAACCCATCTTTTTCCTAGGAAAAGTCGGAATTTCACTCCAAGACCAACTTGTTCCTAGCAAAGAGTGCGCATTTCATTTGTTGTTTGTGCGCGTTACCAATTAGTGTTGCCAATAAGGTTCGAGTGTCATTATACTATTGGGATTCGAATCCGCTTAGCATTAATACTATACAATTAACCAGTACCTCTATGCTAGTACTGCATGTTTAACACAGGCCGGGACCCAGGATAGCAGGGTTATCACAGCTACCACTACGATTTCTTCTAGCTGATTGTGGTTGTAAATAGGAGAAGAGAAACATCGGGGTCAAATTATGGGTGGTGCAAAGCCGATTACGGATCGCCTTAGGGCTGCTGCCAGGGCGAATATTACAGTAACCATTGACATAAGGGCGAATGACAAGGATAGGGTTAGGGTTGATGTTGTTTGTGCGAACAGGCCTCGATGCCTCGTGCAATTCGTGGGCGTGGCAATATGAGCTATGTCATTGACTTCTCCCGGCCTGCTTTGCAGACGATGATGTGTCAGCCACCCTATCTACACGTCTGTCCTGCAGACTGTAGTAGCTGTGTGTTTTCAGTGCTCTGCTTGAACGCAACTTTGGCTCAAGAACAAGATACTGTCACTCGATACGCGTGTCCCGACATAGAATGTGTGAGCCATCCCCCTTTGCATAAGACCGACACCAATCTGCAGGTGAAAGGAAGGTTAGAGCGTGCCTGCCAAGGAACGGTATCACGAAGACTGTAAGCCGTAAACCAGATCCCAGAGGGCAACCACGCATGCTACAACTTATAGCTCGGTGAGGTGAGCAACGTTGAATATATCAACAACAAGCCCTCACCCAGTTTGGAATCAGGAGTCAGTTCGCGATCCTCGTCATTATGTTGGTGTCTAGTACAGGTTTATCCTTAGGGTTGGCAGGGGTATATACACCCACGCGTAAATGCACATACACTCATACGGGCAAGTCCGACAACAAGTCCGAGACGATCATACACTACAGTGAGAAAGGGGGCCTTATGTTGGGCTAAACAAACAAATGTCGGTATCATCCCTAGAAATCTATGAGGCCAATGGTCGGGGTTTCTCCTGAAACCATTCTTCGGATTGCTGTTGAAGGAAGTATCCGGCAGTACGAAGGTTACCAATAGGAACAGATTAGGGGTAATATTGAGTTTGCAAGTAGGGTCCATCTGGGAGATCCAATTTAGGGTTGCCAAGGGGAGGCTGATGTGTGTCATTATATTAAACCTTCAGGCCGGTCTGGGAGCAAACATAAGGGTGTATAATGAGATTCAGTCGACCTAGCAGTTTAATCCATATGAACTAAGATGTGAATCTAGAAGGAAGATCTTTCGGGTGAACATGAAATAGAAGACTACTGTTTTGATTCATTGGGGCCGATGTAAGGCTTAATGGCAGGGTCAGTTTTGGGGATACTGTTGTTTAGGAATAGCAGTCAGTCAAGGCCCACGGTCATTCATACGTGTTGCTGGGGCTTGATCTGAAACTACAGTGAAGGCTACTTTGGGAGTGAACATTCGGGCCCATATTGAGCTTCGGGTATTCACACAAAAATGAATTTCATCGTTGGAGAAATCATCTCTCGGAGTATCGGGTCGCAAGAATTGAAAATGAAGGCTTTTGCCGATATACGTATGCTTTCTCCTCGGAACGTCAAAACCTAACGTTTAACCTGGGTCATACACCAACCGCCTAAACGTAGGACGCAGCACCTCGGTGTTTTTCATTGGGGGGGGGGGTTAGCATATAAATATATATATGTATATATATATATGTATGTTTTTGTATATATATATATATGACCATATAGTATATCATGCCCAGTCATTCTCAATTCAACTTAATGTGATTCATTTCTAGCGCACTGACTAAGAGCACGGCAGGCTGCTTAGGACAGAATCGAATCGACTGAATGTCAACTCGCGGACATATCATGGCCGGGTGATGGGTATACAACTTGGTGGCTGAGCCCCAGGGATAACAGACCTATTTCATGCGTGTCCCTTGGCGGCATGCCCGTTCAATGTTCCTACCCGGAAGATGCTGGCCTTTCTTCTGGGGCCCAAGGCAACAGGCCAGAATCTGACAGGTCACAGATGGTACAAGGAAAAATCCTGGGGCCAAAGCAAAACGGCCCGAATCTTCTTCGTGAGGGTTTTTTACTAGGAAGATTGGGGGGTCCAAGGCCTTAGTCCCGGGATTGGGGTGTGGGGGGGGGGGGGGG